AAAGAAACTGCAGCCCAGGCAGTTAGTGGTAGGCTTGTGATTTTGGTTGGGTTTTTTTTTATTTTCCCAGAAAACTCCTGTGATGAAGGATTTCTAACTGTAACAAAGTACAATTTGGGGAGAAATCTGTAGGAACAAAAATAAAAAAGGATGCTGCATATACTACAGTGTTAAAAACTGACAGACTAAACTGAGAAGTCTCTCCTGAATATCAAATTTCTGTACACAAGATTACAGAGATCTTCATGATCCAAAAAGACATTCTTACAGTTCACTTAATTTCTACCTTGCCCTCATTTAACAAGATGATTTTGCCTTTCTTTGGCACTTCACATCTGAGATCCCAAATGCCATGGACAGCACCTGCCATATGGGCCCCAGATAGATGAAGATGTATTTTTTTGTCCTTATTTGACATGGTAGAATATGAAGACATCGAGTTATGGAGAACTCAAAAACCTGTTGAGAAAGAGCTGCCTTTGGAAATGGTACATTCCTTTCAGAGCTGCTTGAATTTCCAGAAAAATCACTGCTCTTATGAGAAAAAGGTTTAAAATATCTCTTCCTTTCTTATTTTTTCCAAGTTTAGAAATACAGTTACTGGCAGATGGCCTGTGGTGCTCAGCACTCATTCAAACAGTACTGAAATATTAGGAATTTCTATCCATGTGTCCAGGCACACACAGACACAGATGCACACAGAGACAATTCTAGGCAGAGTTTTAACGTGATTTTCAAATCAAAGCATACTTCAAGGCAGATGTCAGACCAGATTCAAGCTAAATTTGTAGGCTGAGCTCATCAGATGGGTAGGACTGTCTGACTGCAAAGGATTATAATGATGAACATGTGTGACAACCGTTTTATTGAACAACGAGTAGATTGTTTAAGGGATTTGTCTGCAGCAAGTGCTTCCCAATCCTGTGAGGAAAGGACATCAGGCTGGTTGTCTGTGTTATGAAATCAGGCTGATCCCCTTGGTTCTGGTGGACTGTGACGTGGCCGTGTTGGGCAAAGCATGATGCTCTGGGGGGAAAGCAGGAGCACTGCCAGTACCCAGGAGCAGGGTAGTGCTGGCAGCTGGCTAGCCTTGGGGCAGTGTTTCTCCAAAACTTGGCTAATCTCTTAAAACACTTCTCTTTGCACAGCCCCTGATTAATGTGATACTGACGAGGCACTGCCTCTGCTATTTGTGCACTAAGGATATGGACATTCCCTGGCGACAAATTGCTTTGGCAATGTTTAAGAAGGACTTGGTATCTATTGCACAGTTATTTGATAACTCCTGCGTGCTGGTTCTGTGCAAGGAAGGGCTCAATCAGTGCTTTTCTTATCATTTTGTCCAGGCAGCACGCACTCAACTATTGTAAATAAAACATTCTGGTTTCTCCAATAGGTATGAGGAGATACGGATTTCTGTGCAAAGATGAAGCTCAAATTGAAGGAGGTGCTTTTGAAATGGTGAATGACTCTATATGCGACCACATATTTAACAGTGAAATCTAATAAATTCTAAGACACACAGAGGCACTGCTGTAGACAAAGGGAGGAACTGATTACCTAATAATAGAAAGCAAAGAAAAAAACCCACAGCATCAGAGCAGACTTGATAAACACTGCACCATAAAAAGAGGAGGATGACTAATTTGCTAAAGAAATTGGCAGAAAATCTTATCTTGATGAGAAGCTCTAAGATGATAATTAGTGACTGGTTTATTTTAACTTTAGATTTTTGTATCTATTTCTTTGGTCTCTGCAAACAATGTCTACAGTCAAGTTCTACTGGTGGGTGAGTTTGTCCTCTGATATACCACTGAAATCAAAACAAGTGTTCATCTTAGAATTACATGAAAGAGGGTCTTTAGAGAACTGTGTCTTGCGTGTAGCAAAATAATCTTAGCCTTTTACCCTCAGGAGCCTGGAAAATGAGTATTTCTATAAAGATTTGTAGTTGAGTGCTTGAATCTGAGGCTGACTCTTACTATTGACTTTGGTTTGCTATAGTATTTATATGGAGTGCATGTCTGAGACTTTTTCAGCAAATGAATAATTCAACGTGTGGTATCCACAAACAATGTATAATAAATGTATCTAAGTGTATATTTTCTCACTTTAAAGTTTAGATCTTGTTGATAATGGCATTTTTGCTGCCTGCCTTTACCCCTCCACCATGTATGTTGGAGGCAGTTATGCTTCCATGTTTCATGCTAATTTAAACTAAATACTTCTTAAGGGTTGCCCACTGTTGTGCTCTAGGGGAAACCCATTGCATCTGGGGAACTTTACATCCTAGTTATTCTTGCCGTTAGTCTATGAAAATTCAGGAGGAGAGACATAAATGGAGAGAAATCCCTGCTGATGGATTCACAGCTCTTAGCTTGTTTTTCCCCCCTTGCTGTAAAGATGTTAGTAGGCTTTCAGAAAGGAGTAAAAAAAAAATATTGTATCAGAATCATTGTTTTTTCATTATTGTTGCTCCCATTTGTAGCTGATGGTCCAAATTAAAGCTGGAACAAAGTGGAGTGTCACTATTACAAGTGACACAAGGCTTTGCAGAGCCAAACTGTGACAGTGTCTCTGAGCCTGGCGTGACTGTTCACTTTCTGTGCATGGCTCTATCCAATTTCCAAGATTTCTCTTTTTCAGCCCTTTTAGTCTCATATTTACTGCAGCACATTGATGGAGGAGACATATGTAATGTGTTCCCTCTCTTGGGCTTTGCTTATGCAAAGAAAATCACTGTCACTGCCACTGCAGTGGAAGCAGCACGGATGCAGTCTTTCAAAGTAAGACAGCGTCCTGGAAAAATTGCTCTGCTTTTGAAGTAATTATTTCCAAATAAAATTGGAACACTGTGCCCACCTGAGGACCATGATAACTCTAGGTTATTACTGTAATCATGCCGGTTAATTTTTCCATGCAGAATAGTTCATTTTAGCCTCCTTGTGAATGGAATTTATAATAGCACAGCCAGTAGTAGCTTGTCCTTGGTCTATTTTATACCAGCCATGTTCATGGGGGAGTCTGTGTAAAGGACAGATATGTGAAGAGAGAGAAGATTATTATCTCATAATAAAGATGAAGGGTCCCACTTTTGTTCCGTAAATACAGGAAAGCACAAGTCTTGCTAGCGGAGCTCACAATTTGTCAGGACTCACGCTGCGTTTTTTAAATCACAGCCTGAAATTTGGAAGCTGCTGGGGGGAAGTAGTAATTCAGGTTAATCAACCCCAGATACGTACTGCCCCGCTTTTTGTTGTCAGTGGTGGCAGCATTAGGTACACCCTACCTGGATATAAAGATGTGCTTTTTCATTTATGCTTTCTTTTGTACCTACTGCTAGACAGTCTGTCCCCTAAACTAGACCCAAGCACCATCAAATCAGCTACAGAAACACTTCAGAAAAATGTGAACCCCCACATTTGGGGATTTCAGGGAGATCTGAGGGCAGGTCACAGCTCAGCAAATCTGCCTGGATTGCTGGATGCTGTCCAGCCATCCCCAGAGCTTGGCAGAAGATGAACACTGCCAGGGTGGCACGGGTCAGGGCAGAAAATCCTGCTTGTGTTTGGAAAATGTGACAAAATTACAGATTGTTGGAGATGGCATTGGGATAAAACATTGTTAGGGTGACAAAAAACTGCTGTGTAGCAACTCTGAAAGTACTCCATGTTTCTGAAAATATGCTACTGAAGTTCTGTCCCACTGGTACAGCCACACAAGGTTGTATGTTCTCGGGAGTATTTGAATCTCAAAAGCTGAATATTACTCCATTGGCCTAATCTGATTGTTCTTTCTGCTTCCTTGTTTCTCCCTTTTTCTTTGGGCTCCAGTACCTCTTCCAGGTTCCTCTGGGGTCCGAATAACTGCTTTAGTTTCAGCATCCTTCCCTTATCTAAAGCAAAATAAAATGAGATTGTGGGCACTGTCTGGGAGGTGAAGTATGAAAGACACTAGGGGTTACATTTAATCTCAGCTATCTGAGAAAAACATGGACTAGTACTGATGCTCTCAATATCTGACCAGGTTGCAAAATACAAGTTCTGAAATTTCTATATATCAGTGTTGAGAGATCCATACTCATGAAACCCCATTTAATTAGGATTTTGATGCTCATATTCCATAAGAGGTGCATAACCTTCAGGAAGAGCAGTAGAAAAATAGTATTTTTCAGATGTGTAAGAGGAGAATGTAAAATATTGCCAGCAGCTTTCAGAATTACTGATTCTGGTTGTAGATAAAGCTGACCTTTCCACAGACATCTGCAGAATAAACCCAACACGTATAGCACAGTATCTTTTCCACTTTTTGGCCTGAAATCAAAAGATATAAGCAGTGATTGATTTACATTACAAAACTGAATGCCAACAGCTGCCTATGAAAGCACTTAGTAAAAGACATTGTTTATGAGCATCAGCTTTGACTCCGTTGTATAATCCTGCCAGAGGCCAAACGCTCTGCAGCAGGAGCACCCAGCCTTCAGCACTTTATATTGTTATCTTGCAATTGATGCAGAAAATGGGGAAAATGATCATGACTGACTTCAGAGAGATTTAAGTGATACTGTTATGTGAAAGGCAAGAAGGCTAAAGGAGTCCCTTTCTATGCTGCCTCTATGTTGGTGTAACCCCTGAAATGAACAGAATTGCTCTGATTTGAATAAGAAGTGGTTCATGCATAATCTGCTCCCTTGCCTTAGCAATGAGCTGAACAAATAGGCTGGACTTATGGACCTTTTAAAATTAAGACAATGGATAATCAGAAGTTAGTGCATGTATATTTTGGTGATTCTGATAAGCTGCTGCTGCTGGAGTTAATCATCACATTTGCGTGGCTATTGTATATTATTTCTTTCCAGAATCGATCACAAGGGACAACCTGAAACAAGGACTCAGAACTCCAGGCTGCTATCCCGAGGTGTTGTGGGCCCTCCGGGGATTTTTCGTGCCCCGCTGGGAGATAATCACAATTTTGAACTGGGGAGTCAAAGGGTGTAATTCTCAGAGTTTCTTCTGCTTCACCCCCTCATCCATCTTGCTGCTGTGAGCCAGCACCATTTCTAGCGAGCTACCTGGCAGCACAGAGGAATGATTTGCAAGCATGGCTGTTCTCATGTGGATAAATAATGAACAGAGCATTGTTCAAAGACAGCTTTCTAGAAACAGGGGGAAAAAAAGTCATGGAGGGAGGCTGAGTGAGTCTGATATTGCAGTGCTTTTGGAGGGGTCTTGAGTGGTGGCAGAACTTCATGCACCTCCAAATCTTTTTTCATGGACATTTCATTGAATCATGTGCTGGATTAACCCTGCAGTGAACCACCTGAGGGGCTCACACTTCTGTGTGAAGATAAAGGGGAAAACCAGGGTGGGATTTGGTCCTCCTGGGTGGTGCAAGTTGACAGTGACCTGGCAAGGTGTCAACATGTTTGCCAGAAGCATTGCTAGAAAAAACTCAGCTGGCTGGGAGCTGCTCTCTCTCCTCTCCCAGAAGTTGTTACTTGCTCCATGTGCCTGGGATTTCCTCACTGGAACAAGGTCACTGTCAGGAATCACACACCTGTTTTTATGTACCTCATCCCAGAGTTCATCATTGTGAAAGGAGTTTTGTGTGTTTTTTTTTCTTTTCCTCACTGCATGCTATGGCCTGGCCAAACACCACTGCAAACCTTCCTGCTCTGCACGGAGGGTGGTCCAGGGTGTGCTCTGCAGTGCTATTTTGTTTGTGTGGAAGTGTTTTGCATCCACAGAACAATTTGGCTCAGCTAACATCATCCTTCCCCTGCTGAAGAGTCCTAAGGCACTGCCTGGTACCTCGTGCCCAGCCTGTCACTGCAACAAGTGCCCCTAGACAACCCTCTGCTATGAACGCTGAGCTTGATTTAGTTATCAGCCCAGACATTGCCATCATGAGCAATCATCTTCAAAGGAGTGATAGGCAGAGCATCCGGGCCAAATTGTAACGTGATTACCTGACAGAGCTTTTAATAAAGACAATACTTCAGAGACACTTTGGTTGATCTGAATTCTTTCTTTTTTTTCTTTTTTCCTAGATTTAATTTTAGAACGGCAGTGCTGGAAACACACTCCTTGAGCCTTGTTTAGGGGCATGAGTCAGGAAGGGACTCTGGTTTGAAAGAAAACAGAGTTACTGATAATTCCCTTTTCCTGTGCCTGGGAAAAGTGAACCTGAAAAAGCAACTAAACATTTCAGAATGCACTTTCATTTTAATAATCATAAGTTTCTCATAAAAAAAACTTCTAAAAAAAATTAGAAAGGATTGGTTTAGCTCTATTCAAAAAAAAAAAAAAAGGTAATTCACTGTTCGTTTAAATCATCTTTGGAACTAGCACTGCCTGCTGAGTGAGAACAGAAGATAAAAGCGATACAAACAAAACATTTAAAGGACTTTAAATAAAACTCGATGTGCTCGAAAACATTAATACCCTGGCAGCGAACAACGCCTGCTCCTCAGGGGCTGCAGATTTCAGGCAAACTCTTCCATCGCCAGCCGGCCCCCGCAGCACGGTCCCTGACCTCCCCCGGCTCTCCGCAGCCCCAGGAGCGCCGGGGCGCTGCCAGTGGGTCCCGCGGAGGGTGGGGAACCCCGCCCGGCACCGCCCCGCCGAGGGCCTCCCGCCCGCCCCTCGCGGGATCCCCGCGCCGCCCGCCCCGTCGGGGCCGCCCCCGCCGCTCCCGGGCCGGGCCGGGCGCACCAGGCGGCGGAGCAGCGGCGCGGGGCCGGGGCCGCCTGCCCCGGGGACGCCGAGCAGGTGTCGGGGCGCCGGGGCCCCCCGAGCCCATCCAGGTGAGTGGAGAGCGCAGGGCTGCGGGCGGGGGCTGCGGGCGGCCGGCGCTGCCCCGCTGTGCGGCTCCGCTCCCGCGGGCACGGCGGGGCTGCGAGGGGCTGGGATCTGCGCTCGCCCCGCTGCGCTCTCCCCGCGCTGCCGCAGCGGGACGCGGGGGTTCCTTTCCCTGGCGGTCGGTGTGATCATCCCCCCGCCCCCGTCCACCGTCGGCTCTGGGGCTTCGTTCCCCGGCGGTCAGTGAGGTGCAGCCGCGTCCCCGTTGCCGGAGATGTGGCATCTCCCGGGGATCGTGGGTGCCTCCCCCAGTACGCTGCGGGCTCCATTTGCTGCGAGTGGGCAGGGTGCACCTCCCCACTCTGGTGCTGGGGCACTTCACCTCACCCAGAGTTGTTTGTGAGCGGCAACAATCCCCCCCCTCCATGTGTCGGTGGGGTGCCTCCACCATGATCCCTGGGGCTCCATCCCTAGGGCACCTGAGGGTGGCATTCCCTCTGCAGAGGGTCAGGGGGATGTGTACTCCATCATCGTGGGGGCTCCATTCCCAGGAGGCTGGTGGGTTGCAGGAGTCCCTGCCCAGGGGCCATTGGGGTCCATCTCTTCGTAGGTCAATGGGGCAGGTGTTGGTGGGGTCCATCCCGCAAGGGTTGGTGGGGTTTCATTCCTCTGGGGGTCAGTGGAGCATATCCCCTGATTTGGGGGTGCTTGTAGGGTGTCTGCCCAGCCCTTGCTCCGCTGATCCCAGTGTGCCTGCCTGCAGGGCAAGGGGCATGCTGTGACACTTTGTGCTATCACCCTGCGCTGCGGATTAGGTCATGCCGTGACACTGCCTGTTACTGTCTCGCAGTGCAGCAGGGCCCGGGGATATGAGGAGAGGGGTTGCAGTTGCAGAAAAAACAGTAACCACCCCCCTTCGCTATATGCAGCGGTTTAATAAAATCAGACAGCATGAAGCATGGGTCTGATATTTCCCTCCCCCCGATCATCAGAAGGTAGTTCTCTGTGTCATTAAATACTCGTGTCCGCACAAAGCAGGCTGTGATATATGCAGTGTTGTAAGCCCGGGAGCAGTTGTGGATGAGATGTGTAATCGGAAAACATCAGGAGCTGACCTCAAACTCCAAAGTTAACTGTGCTGCCTCTCCTTCGGGTGGCCTGGGGTACTCTTTTAAACCTGTCTCAGTCTGTAACTATCTGTCCATTACACGTGGCTGCAGGAAGCTCTGATGCCCCTTTGTAGGTGCCATAAAGCTGTAAATGGGCTTAATATAGCCCATCCCGTTAACCTCAGTGCTTTCCCTCGGTATCCTTTTAATGAACGGCTCGTGAATTTCTCTCAACGGGCTGTCAGATCTTCTCTGCTTCTGGCTGGAGAGAGCTTGGCGAGGCTGTGTGAGGGGAGACTTCCCAGAGCTTCCCAGAAGGATCAACACAAGGAGTTGGTGCGCTCTGGCCAGTGCAGTGGCAATGGGTTCAGGCACTGTCCCTGCATCAGCATCTTGATTTTAGGGCACTCCCAGGGCAGGGGAGACATCAAAGTCTTGGGCTTCACTTTGCCCCTGGCAAAGGGGCAGCTGGAATGCTTGTGAGCAGGCCATTTTACCAGAGTGCTCAACCACTTTGGTCTGTGTTCTTCTGCCTTCATTTTGAGGCAAACTGCAATACCTGTACACCCTCTGCAACTCTCACTTTCATGTCCAGGATGCATGTCCTTGCAAATATTGTGCTAATCCCTTGAGATGACTCACTAACTTTGCCTTTTTTAGAGTGTCTTCTGCCTCTCTTGCATGGGTTTTTGCACTGGACAAATTATCTTCTGGGCAGCCAAAGCTCATAGTCCGTGGAAGAATAGCCTGCAATATTACTGAGTTAATAATTTTCTGAAAAACAAAATGCCTGAATGTAAATAGAATGGAAAACATGTCTTTGAAGTCTTTTTTCTTTAAAATTATTCAGTGCCTAGCCTGGAGGAAACCTATTTTTTAAACTTTTATTAAACTCACTAGTATTTTACAGAAGTGGGAAGTGATTTTATTGTTTCTCCTTTTTGTTTAAAAGTCTTTCAGTTTTCATGACATGAGGTCTTTTTTGTGTTACCTTTTAAATGTTGACAGGGGATTGCTAGTTTAAGAAACTTTATGTGTGAGTAGATGTTTAGTCTGGTTTACCAGCTCCTGAGCTGACAAAGGCAGCTGCCAGCAGCTCTGCCCGGGGCACAGCAGGGCTGAGTCCAGCCAGGGATGCTGAGGAGTCCCAGGGCACTGATTATCTCAATTGAGTTGAAGTAGGGAGAGAAGGTCAAAGTCCATGTGGTATTGTAATGGATTTCCTAGGCATGCAGAGAGCAGCAGCTATCTTGTATGGCAGGTATCTACTGAAGGGGCTGTTTGACAATGCTGGTGACATCAAACCTCTGTGTTGTAAGAGCCAAATTTAAAAGGTATTGCATGTCTTCATGATATTGCCATAGGTGTTTTGCTAGCTTTTCAGTAGCTTTATGAAATAAAAAACATCTCTGGGCGGGAGTCTGTCTGGGTGCAATAGCGCACACTGGGTGTTGGGATGTAGGAAAGGCTTTAATGTAAGGTCCATCTGCCTTAGCTCATCCGCACAAGGGTTGGGAAATGCTTCCCGCCTTTCAAATCCGAGCCATGACATCCAAGTCTGCAAAACCCCCCATTTTTTCTTTTATTTGTTACTAACTATAGTTCTTGTACACAGCACACTTTGTCTCCTGAAAGGGCAGTTGAGATGCCCTAAATGAAAAGCTGTGGGTTTTGCCTGAGTAATACATGAAAAAGTCTTACAATGCAGGCACATTTCTTAATTGTGTCTGAATGTTGTTATTAAAATTAACTTTGCTGTATTTGTACATGTTTCTATACTAGGTAGATAATATTTCTGAATGCTATTACTGTCTTCAATATAGGACTTGTTCTCTTGCTGGGTTTCCTGCAGGTGTTACTAGGCGCTCCGTGTAACATTCTTACCTTAAATGGGTTCAAACCACTAATAAAATCCATTAGACAAATGCAGAATTAAAAAAAAAAAAAAAAAAAAAAAAAAAAATGGTTTTACTGGGCAATGTTAAGTCAGGAAATACAGAGGCTGAGGCTCCAACAGCAATATTAACTTGGCTGCAATACACATCCTGTAAGCTCTTTTATGACATACATCTCATAATGTAAACAGGAATAAGCATGTAGATTAATGTATGCAGAGAAGGAGTAGAAAAGAGTATTTTTCTGAGTCTGGCCCCCTTGTCCCTGTGTCAGCTGGCTCTTGCACAGAGCCTGGAAAAGCCTGGCACTGCTTTACACTGTGCTGGGCAGTGTGTCCAGCACCGACTCAGCTGCACCCAATTGCTGATGGAGTAAAAATAACTGCAGTGAATGAGTAATTTGGGTTTCGTTTCTGTCAAAACAATACTAGAGTAATGAAGTTTGTTTTGCTCCTTAAGGTCTGTGAGCAGTAGGATGTATGAGCCTTAAGCGTTCCCGCTTGCATTATTCCCTACTGGCGTGCCTGGCCCTGCTGAGGCTGCTGTGGTTGTAATGAAGTGCAGTGGCTTTTCTTTGGTGAGTCTCAGCTTTCTACTTGTATTACCCACGTGTTACAGTAACAGCTCTCCCGGCTAATTTTAACTAGATCATGTACAAAAGTGATTACATGCATATTGTTTTTTAACACAGATCTGCAATGGACCAAGCAGTATTGCTCTTTGTATTATGTTGTCTTAATTAAAAACTGTGTTATTAATATTTCAGTAAATTGATAAATTTCGCCTGAGGGTCAAATAGTCTAATCTGACCTTCGCCATGTCACAAGACATTATATCTCATGCAGTTACCACTGTTCTGAGCTGGAGATTTGCATGCGATGTGGTGTCATCTAGGGCAGAGTCTGTGGTCCTTCAGCATCAGCTTCCAGCAATGACAAAGGTGGTCTGGGTGAATAAAATTAATTTATGGGTACTCTCCAGGAGAAAATAATTATCCTTTTCTGTCTAAAAAGGGCTCCTAATCTAGTATCAGCACACTGATATTGCTGCCTTGCTGTGACATTGTAAAGCTCTGCAAGGGAAGTGGGAGCAGCTCTAATTCTGCAACCTAATACTTCTCCTGTTATACCTGCCTAATTGCAATGGCTCCTCTTTGGTGCAGCCTCCCAAAGATGCTGTTAGAGCATTGTTGTAAGCCACAGCATTGTGCTTTAATTTAATTACTGTTTGATTTGGCCAGCATTTTATTCACTTTCTCTGCAGTGTTGGACAGTTTGCAGAGGGGTTTCTACCTGGCTGGGTTACAGCACTTATTGTGTGCACTTAACCTCAATTTCTCTTTAAGCGGAATTGTATTAAAATAATTTGACAAAACTTTGAAATTACAATAGGGCTGCTTTTGATAATTGACTTACTCCCCTCTCCCCCCGTAAATAATTGTATTTATTAAAATTATCATGATTCAGAGAGTCAGAATGGTTCAAATCAAACAGAGTGTCTGGATCCCACTGGGTTTTGGTTTTGGCCATTTTTGCTTTGTGAGAAGTGAAGGTAGGCACCGCTCTGGGGTCCCACTACGGTGAGCGACCAGCTGTCCTCTGTCAGCTCTCAGAAGTGAAACAGTACCTGTCAGGATTTGTGCTGGGGGAGTTGTCAGAAAGAACAGCATTGAAAAATGAGAAAAGCATAGAAAATGGTCTCTAACTACATTAAAGACTTGTGAAACTTCTGCTGTTCTGCAAAAAAACCCTGTAATTTTGCACAGTGGAGCCATCCTCCCTGACTCAGACTGGGAGAAAGACCTATTCAATGTTACATTTTAATCATATACAACACAAAGACTTTTGCTGTGCTGTTTAAAATCCAGCTTTCTTTCAGGCTGTGTTCTGCCGGGATGTTTTCATCCAAAACGGACTGCTGAGGCTGACAGGAACAGTCTGAAAAAGCAGCTCTAACCTTCCTTCCTGACACTTCAATAGTGACACCCACTGTGGGAAACTAGGGCATAAATGCATTAACACTTGTCACTGGGAAGAAAATCCTCTCCATGATGGGCACCAGAAGAGAGTGATTCTTAGATTCATGATACAAATTGGTTCATTATTTATTTCAATCAAAGTCTGTAGGTGCTCCTACAATGAAAAATTAAAGTGCACTTTGCAGAATACTTGTGAGCTGACACTCTGCCAACCCCAAAGCCTTCCTGACCTACAAAATGAAAGAGAGCTTTGATATTCGCTGCACTCTTCACAAAGTCTCAGACAAACAGGCTTTGCCCAGAATTTTGACAGAGGCAGGACCTACTGAAACAGATGCCAAACCCACTTTGTTCACTGTCGCCTTCCAGGGGAAACATCCTGTTGTTGCCTGTTGGTGTTACAGATCTGTATGAGGGCAGCCCAGCTGCTTAGTCTTCTGTAAATACTTTGGACTTCAGTAGGTATCCCCTTACGAGTGCCACCATACTGTTGCATGTTGTCTAAGTTTAGCAATGCTCTCATCTTCCCAGATGGGTAAAAGACAGCTTGTTCCCTGCTGGAGCAGGGTTTTCCCACTCCTCCAGCTGTATGCAAATGCAGCACTTCTATAAATCAGTAATTGTGAAGGAACTAAAGGAACACACGGCTGCTTCTCTC